AGGATAATTGCTGATCAATTATGAAACAGTAGCTGATAAGTAATTCCTCAATGAAGGAAAAAAGCAACAAGAGCCCTCAAGAACACCACAAACAAAATTGCTCCCTTACAGTTACACCGCCCTGCGGTCCGTGGGCAACCCCTGGCTCACAAATCGCTTTATGGCATTTCCCAGTAGTGGACAACATCCAATTCAAAGAAAAGAATATGAAAAACAACAAAGACACGAACGAAAAACACTTGAAAAAAATTCAAAAACCTGGCGTCCGAATTTGGGGTTACGTGCAGTGTGCAGCTTTTGGTGCATGTCGAGCTTTTGCACCACAGAAATTGCATCATTCGTGATTTTTACGCGTTTTACCTTACGAGATGGGTTGCAGTTGACTGTATGTGCTCCCAATGAATAAAATGTGATGAAGGAGAATTATTTATGGGCACGAGCGCGGTCAGCAAAAAGTACATGCAGTCCGATTAATGCCCGCCGTCCCAACAAAGAACAACTGAGCGGCTCTCCGTCAGAGGGCAGCTAGCAAGTGGGGCGGTCCAACTGGGCGGGCGTTAGAACTAGAACTTTGAGCGGCTGTAGCTCGCTCCTCGCTCACTGTGGAGTCGCGAGAGTGGGATATCTAGCTTGGGGGCTGAACTACCTGCACAAGGAAGGACGACCATGTACTACTTGAGCGCGGGGCTGTCTTTAAGTGTGAAATGGCATTCGGCGGTAGGTCACCTTATCTTTGACTTTCCAGGCTCCGACGAAGGCGACTAGGCCGAAACGTTAGCCAAATAAAGTTGTTAATATCTTGGCTGTGGTTAAACATCTAATCAGAAGGACCTCACACGATGCCAAGATTCATTGAAAGTCGATCATGGATATCTTTAAGATGATAAGTGGAGAGATAAATTTACTTGAGGGTCATTAAGGTGGAAGCGTTTGGCAAAGTGTACATGGTTGTGCCGTTCGCAATAATGGCGATATCGGCTGGTATACTGACTCTGAGTTTCTTGCCTGAAACGATGGGTCAACCCTTGCCTGAAACGATTGAAGAAGTCGAAGGTATAGAAACGGAAAGTGAACCACAGGAGTTGCAGCCACTCCAGGCAAAGGAACCGGCCGAAAATGAACAGTCTGAGCCTACAAAGGAAGACTAGGATACGCTTTTACAGTACTCTATCCATACTTAAGTCTCAGTGCTGGTTCTATCAATGTTTCGGATTTATTAAGTTCTGTTGATAGCATAAATTGGAGACTATGTTGTTTAAAGCCTCTGTATCTGTCGTTGAGATTTTCTTCACTTGCCTCGGCGTAGTGCTGCTATGTAAAAGTACCCACGAAGTTAGCAAAGCAGTTTTTCTTTGCCCTAGCACGTGCCAGAAGTATCCAAACCGTTATATTCTTGCTTATGTTTCTGCGGACCACAGTTGGTAATTCCATCTATTTGATGCTTTCAAAATTCTTTGCGTTCACTTTACGATTGGGCCCGTGACACTTCACAGTTGTTTTATGTCCTGTTAAAGGCAAAGGGCGCGATTGCTGGAGGCGGGCTATTGTTGCCAGTTTCATTGGCGGAAGGGCTGCGAGAGGGCGTCTGGCCACGCTCCTCTCAACCCTTCCACCAATGACGTTAGAAACAACCGCCCGCCCCCATCGTGCCCACTGCCCTCAAGTCTCTCATAGGTTGCCAATTGAATGTTGCCACTTAATATTCTTGATTTTCATTCGAGCGTTCCAAGTGAGATTCGTGGTTATGTTTTAGATTCTTGGGTTCGATCTCGTATTGACCAGCGTTGATATTGTTACTAAATATTTTGTTCATGAATGTTGTAAAATAATTGCGAAAAAAGAAGGGATGGAACTTTTTGAGAAGTTAGAAGCGCTATCTGGCCTGAGAGGGGCATTGTGCACTTTCTCTAGTTTCTTTGGCTAGTTACTGTGAAACTACAGGTCTCAACTTAGTGAGTCTTGTACACCCTTACCAAAAATAAACAAACCTCTATGCTTTACAGGAATTTGCAGGTCTCCACAGGACATCGGCAGAGATCAATGGGAGCAGTAATATGTCCCCACCAAGCCGCACTGCGCTGTAGATCCAGCGAAATGGATATCATAACCGTTTCGATTATCCCAAATGAGCAGGGTTTCATCTACACAACTCTCAAAGAACGTGGCATTGAAATCAGGGCACGCCATTGCGTTGTGATGAATTTCTGCTAATTCCCTCCCCTGTCATTTGCTACTGTCCTGAAGTTGCGAAGTCTTCCTTTTTGCACACAAAAGCGAAAATCACTGGGAAAAAACGGTCCACGAACAACTAAAACCCTGTCCCTTAGTCGCGCCAATTTCTGTTTTTCTCAGAGCTCTCACGTCTGCTCGGCGTTCTCGACCACAGTGACCTTCCATATCCCAACAGTACACGCACAATACATAGGTGGCTCATCCAACGCGTTGTCTCTAACCTTTGAAAAAACTGATCTTCTAGCCTGCGACATGTTTTTGTCCCTCTCAATGCCTTCGTACCACAGTTCTTTGTTTCTCTGCGCTCTGGCCCTTCGCAGCAGGACCCCCATCAAAAGTTTTAGTTGTCATGTGACAACGCTTGGTGGTGAATGGACTCAGTTCAAGATGAGAGTGAACATTGGTTTCTTATCAAGGCTAAAATGTAAGGAAACTCAGGCCTAATCTCGGTAGCAGATAAACCGAGAGTGAGACATGCCAGGCACAAAATTTTTACCTGCTACCAGATAGAGCCCCTTAACTATCATGGCATGCCATGCTTGCCCGATGAAGGCCGCCAGGTTTATTGGTGTAGATAAACAATTTAAGTGCTTGGTGCTCTACATAGGATGAATATACCTGCAGTTGGAAAGGATCATCGTGACAAAACAATGGAAGATCGCAAAGTAAAGAAGACAAAAAAGACGCGAGGTAATTAACATTGAATCGCGTAAAACATGATGAAACGAGTTCATATAAAAAAAAGATGCAAATGGTTGAGAAATCAACAAAGGAAAGGGAAATGCTCCTACTAGCACTTGAATTTTAATTGTTCGCGGTCATTCACAGTAAGAGTTGGGGCCGCTTTGTGCTTGGGTATTGGGGCGAGCTACTTCACGGTTCAGTTCTGAGCCAAACACTCCGGAAGTACCCTCCGCTCGACCCCCTTAACTTCTTTGAGAGTGGAGCTTTTGAAGAGGAAAAAACAGGGTTGAAAAGCACTTGGATAGCGCTTATCGAATGCGTTCAAGCAATTCGAAAAAACCTTATTTGAGGTTTTGTTTTGAGGTTTTGTCATGATGACTGCTCTTTACTGCCGCTGTACGTGTCCCGAACGTTATCACAAGAATGCTGAGTTGTGGGCAAAAGTCGTGCCCCAGGCGGGAGTCGAACCCGCACCTCACGCTTTCCGGGCGAGTGCGCTATCCGTTACGCCACCAGGGCCTATTTTACCCTCTCAGCTTAACGGCTTATGCCGTAACCTTACAGCACTCACACGTTTAACTTGGCCATCGTACTTCCTGTCATCGCCTGTTCCCCACTTCTGAGCTTGCAGGTTGCTTCTGTCTTCAGATGTCTCTTCAGGTGTTCTGCACATGGAGAACAATGAATAAATCTCTCATCATTCAAGCTCTACAAAATCTGAATATCGCTACTCCCCACTTCAGATTGGGTCCTGCGCTTGCAACACCCCCTCCCCCCTCCCTCTCGGTCAAGTGCAACCCCTCGCTGTGATTACCACAACGATGGCGTGCCCTGATTGAGACAGCACAAGGTTGGGGGACACAGTGCAGCAGCCCAATGTAGCACTCACAGAGCGTTACATCGACCAGCTTTGCCTAACTCGCTGTTTTTGTAGCCTGAAAGGTTGAGATTTCATGATTATGAGAGCTTAGCCCTTGAGGTCAAAATATTCATCACATGGTTAAACTTACATTCTTCGTTTATCTGATGGGTAGAGATTACCTTGTACAAACACTGCAATCTCAAATGTTGTCCTACTTTCGCGGTGAATGACCAATACTCTGCATTACGTAGCTGAAGCAACGATACGTGCAGAAGTTGCCCCGCCCATCTGCGGACGAGATATGCTGGCCTCCTTCTCGTTAATTCAGATGATAATTGCCAACAAATAACATATGAGAGTGCAAGAAACTGCTTGACCAACGAAGCTCAATGAGAGATTAGAGACAGTTCCATTTAATAAGGACGCGTCGTACTTTGGGGATCCCCTGCGAAGGGGTCGTATTTGGCCGTTTGAAAGAGGGGGTTATTTGCTTTGAGTGAAATGTTTTCGGGTGTTTTTCTTGGCTCAGGTTCTCCTCCTTGAGTCACAACCCCATCCTTCCCTCGGCTCGACAGCAATTTTCTGCTTTTCGGGAAAGAGTGGTATGTACAGTCTTGCTGGCTGCAGACGATAGGGCATGTCAGTGAGGCTGGGTTTGACGCGCCGCCAGCGCGTTGTCTACTAGTCGTTGAAGCGTGTAAGCGGCAGCAATCAGTAGAAAACGACACGACATGATACAGTCTTGTCGCCTGCCGAATGATAAAAGCAAAGAAAGGCTGGCGCCGCGCCATACTCGACACTCTCTTTCATCCGTACTGAACAAAACTATAGCAAATCGGGAACATTTAGGAAGGTAGAATGAGGGATGGGGTAGGAAGGGGAGAGGAGGAAACCTTGGAGAGGAGGGGGTAGCACAGGGTGGGATTCCGCAGAACTTCTTCCCAACGGCAGGATGCGTAATGATTCTGATGATGCTTGCTTCGGCATCAACAAACGTTGATGAATAATAATCGGCCGCTTGATATTCACTAAAGAAAATTGAGAAAGCCGTGTCACAGCTCAAAGGAGGGGAGTCAGTTGCACTTGGTACGGGGGTCCTGTCAGAAGTCAGGGGCCAGGATTCACCCATGTGTGGTAGTGTATACACAGGGCACCCCATCGCTGTGATAATCACAACGGGGATGGTCGTATTTCACCACGATGAAAGGGGGTCGTATATGGTGCGTAACTTTTTTTGATAGTTGATTTCTCTTGTTTCACACGAGCCGTATAAAGTGTGAGGGTGGTATGGTTTGTTTGTTTTGTTGACGAGGATTTGCGGCGTTGGGAAATAATTTTTCCCGGTTGTTGGCTTGCGGTTTTTTCCGTTTCACTGGTATTATATATTCTCTCTAGTTGGCGTCACTGCCAAAGATTTAGGCAAGTACTATTTACGATAGTTAGCTGGAAATAGTAGTTAGTTCATGACGGCCTCCTACACTCCCCCTCCCCCGCTCGATAGCAAAATTTTGGGGAAAAACTAGAAGTTTTGCCGGAAAAGCTGGAAGAGTGGAAGTGGTAGGAAGTTGGGGAAATCTAGGGAAGTGGTGGGATAGGATGGGGGAGGGGGGAGGGGAGTCGTACCAGAGGATGGAATTAGGGGGGTCGTATGTTGCAGGAATTTATCACAGCGCGATGGCGTGCACTGAGTGTACACCCGTCAACCTTGTGAGATTGAAATCCCATGAAACGGGTAATGAATAATGAACTCATGAACACAAAATTGGCTGAGGGAGCATATTTGCCAATCAATCAGTCATCAGTCATATCCATTTCTGCTACGACGAGCTATAAACTCTATTTCCGCCTCGGAATTGCAGAAAAAGTATGACGCTCTTGGATGATGATGGAGAAGTACATCAAGAGGGTTTATTTTGATGTGAGGCTTTGGTCCCATGCAGTTCATCTGATTGCAGCCTATTCAACTTTCCCCACTTTG